GTTTGATCATTTTGAAAAGCGCTCAAGTTGGTTATTTTTGGGCAAAAGGACAGAAAAAAATATTGCTGTGTTAGGATTTTATGGCAGATATTGTCAGTGTACATTTTTGTCTACAAAGGTGTTGCAACGGTGCAAAATTTGAGGAGGACATAAGGGCTAAAACAGATATTTTTGTGTCCTTTTATTTGTCTAACAAAAATGTGATAATATAAACTGTAACTGCCCACCAGAGACTAAAGACTCTCTGGCCTTACGTACGAATTGCCCGGGTACCTCCTCTCTGTGGAGAAATAGCTCTACACAGAGGTGGTACATAAGGCTGGAAAGAGGGTAGGACGCCCACAAAGGCAAAAGAGCCAGTAAACTCTAAATGCTCTTATATGCCATATCAAACAAGCCTCATTAAAAGAGGTACAGATTGTCCTTTATCAATGATTAACAGATAAGGTTCTTCTGTAGTTGCCCCAGTTGCCTCAAGATGCTTTATATGTCTACAATTGTGATGTGAAAAGCTAAATCATAATTGTTTATAGTGGTTATTTGTATGAATAATGTTCAAATTTCTGTGCCTTTTAGGATTTTTCCCATATTTTCAACTTCAGTCTTCAAACATCTACAATGTTTTGCCTGAAGGATGGACGTTGCTGTAAAATGCCACTTGGGGCCATCTGTGTCTTCCTTTTTCATCACTTTATTTTTTTCTTTCACTTAGCACAGTTTTGTGGAGGTAATTAAGTCTTATCGTTATGGAGTTACACAAATTATGCAACACATCTAAATCTATTAATTACACAAATATTTCTGTTATTGATTAAATGTCAGCCATTTCATTTATGTCATAGGCTAAAACAGCAAATGTAAAACACCTGGGCTTCTGAACCTCGGTTTAAAATTATCTTATCAGAAACTAATAAAACAATGTTTTGTAACTTTCTCAAAAATTACACGTATTTGTAATTTTTCTTTAGGTGTGTCTCGGGTGGTTGGTCCATCTGAGCCAGTTGTGGCAATAGTTGGTGATGACACTGTGTTACCATGCCATCTGGATCCTGCTGTGAATGCTGCTGATATGACAGTAGAGTGGACACGATCTGACCTCACACCCAGATTTGTGCATGTTTGGCGTGACGGCGTGGAGCTCGTGAATAAAAAAAATGTAGCCTACATGGAAAGAACATCACTACCCATTAACAACCTGAAGCTCGGAGACATTTCACTAAAACTCTCCAAAGTGAAACTGTCAGATAGGGGATCATACAAATGCTTCAGTCCTGCGCTTAGTGGACAAGCCAGTGTTGAGCTTGTTGTTGGTAAGTGGAGATATAGTCCTTGTACAGAAAGGTCAAAATGATATCTGATGTTGAAAATCATCAGTCATTATTTAGTTTAGAAAAAAAAAACATTGTTAGTAGTAAAAAACTCATAAGGGTAAAAAGAATACAGAATAGTAGAATAGTGTTTTTCATGTCACTGTTAAATGGTTTAAATACAGTTGGTGTACAAGTATTCAGTGCATTTGCAATAAATTTAATGGCTCTTTAGTGTTGCTACTAGTTATAGTGACCAATGTGTTTTCCCTTTTCAAAATTAGGTGTAGTTTCATCACTTATCATCACTGTAATGAGGAACAGTGAGGACAGCAGTAAAGTGGTGTTACAGTGTGAGTCTGCAGGCTGGTATCCAGAGCCTGAGCTGCTGTGGTTGGACGGTGAGGGAAACCTCCTCTCTGCTGGACCTACAGAGACCCTCAGAGGTCCTGATGACCTCTATAGTGTCAGCAGCAGAGTGACTGTGGAGAAGAGACACAGCAACAACATCACCTGCAGAGTCCAACAGAGGAACACCAACCAGAGCAGAGAGACACATATACATGTTCCAGGTAGAAAAACAAAGAAACAAAGTAGTTAGTTATAGTTTTATGTATTTTTTGTGTAAAATTGCTGCAGCCTACATGTTGATATCCTGTGTGTTCTTATTCCAGGTGATTTATTTAACCCCTCATGTAGTTCTGCGGCTCACATCACCATTGCTGTTGTTGTGACAGTCTTGCTAATTCTTGCAGTTGTCTTAGTTGTGTGGAAATATCGTTCTAAACGCCAAGGTACAGTATCTTGTTGTAAAAAGTGACAAAAAAATATTTTCTTAAAAAAAATTATAGAATAATAGATTTCTGTGAATTTAAATGACTTTCTTTTGTACAACAGGAAGAAACCTCACAAGAACGTCCTCTGATCACAGTGACCTTCAGCTCGACACTGAGGAGAAAGGAGAAACAAAGCATCTCACCCAAGACAGTGTTGACACTGTTGACATAAATACAAAACAAGAAAATCTTGAGGCTCAAAAAGAAAAAAAAGCAGTAGACAAATTTCATTTGTTAATGGCGGTTCAATTATTAATGAATCATAAATTTAATTTAGAAGAAGATATTGATGAACTTACTCCAAAAGTGAAGGAGCTAGAGAAACAGCAAGATAAAAATCCGAGTCAACTGGTAACAAATATGCGACCAACAGAACGAAGTAAGATAAAGTCTGCAAAAATAAATCAAGATGAGGAAACAAAAACTGATCTTAAATCAATGAAGCAAGCTCTTGATAATAAAATACAAGAAAAGGAATCAGTATTGTATGCGGTTCAGGTAATGACAGAGAAGAAGGAAGAATTAGAAAAGACTTTAGAAACAATTCTTGAACAGTTGGAGAAAATAAAGAACAGAGATGAAGTTCAAATGTAACTCCAATTAGGCAGTTCAGAGGCATAAAATAAAGCCTAAAACAGTCACTTTATTCATTTAATGAAGAGTCTCTAACATTGACACCACTACAGGACAGAGTTCATAAATAAAACAACATCAACAGCAGCAGCTGAAGTAAAGAGAAGATGACTTTTATTTCTTCCGCAGAAGAGACCCTGTCATCACCAGATAAACACAGTAGAAGGCATTGGTTGAGTTGCTCCACTCACACAATGTTTAAAATAACTCAGTGACCTCTAGTGGCCATAAGATTTATGGCAACAGTATATGAGTAGATACCAATGCAAGATAGAGTTGCCTGTGTCAAGGAAATGACATATTTGTGTGGCTTTTTTCTTTTCTTACTGGTAATGACAACCCAATACTGGTGATGTCCTTAATATAAACTGAATATTAGTGCATTTTGGTGCCATGTACCAGTTCATACATTCACATTCTACATCACAGTTTCTAAATCTATTTGTTATCTGTTTGCTTTCTGTCTTTAATTTTGTCTTTCTAAAGCTAAAGAATTTTTTTTTTCACAAAGGTTGTGTCAAAATGCCAAATAAGACATGTGTAAAATAAGTTAGTACTGTGACAGCAGAATTCACATTATCAGCAGAATGTACTACTTAATATACCATCACTATTAAATGCACCAGATATTTAAAGATAGTTATGATCTGTCACATGATGTCATGTTTTTAAGCCTCGGTGTGGTTACAAGTGAAACTATCATTACCAGTCAGTGTATTAATAGCTCTTTATATCAGCAGCATCTTCTAGTTGACAGTAAAAGATAAAAAAAAAAAAGTGGTTGAACCGTTATGCTGAATGGATATCTCTTAATAAACAAACTCTGATGAATAACCACATGAGAAAATTTCCAGTTCAGCTTATTTCCAGTTAATAGCTACTTCAATACATGGTGGCTTTATACAATACTGTAAATGTACACAGTGATGTCTTTAAAAAGTTACTGTCTTCAACAGTTTCGTAATACATTTACTGCAAGCTAAAAGTTGTACAAAGTAGGCACAAGTACCCAGCTGATACTTTACAAGTCATCTTGGAGGATGTTTTTACTGCACAGTTCTTAAACATTGCAAGGTGACATTAACCTGATGTTTCAGTGCTTAGATCTTCATTGGACGAGACAGATGAGGTGACTTGGATATCTAACGATCTTAATTTAATTTTTCCCCTAAAATGCAACAGTTGTCAAAAAAGGTTATTTGACAGATAAAACAGTACTTCTCCGTCTATCAGCCTACGCTCTTCTTTCGACTATTCCCTTTGAGATTTGCCACAGTGGATTACTGATCTCCATCTCATCCTGTGCCTAGCTTCCTCTTCCATCACACCAGCACAGAAAATACATAGAAACACAGAAAAATTTGTTTTTATGAATGTGTTTGTTAAAAGGGGGAATGAAACATGGTGTATAGAGTCCATTTACTTTTCACCATCTTTAAATCATAAAACATGTCTCACTACTCTCTTGGAGTACTAAATGTTGCCCTTGAACATTGATTATCCACCTGTCTAAAAAAAATATTTGTGTCCTTTACGTTCTTTTGTGACTAAATGAAGGAGGTTTGTGATGTTGATGTTATCACATTCATTTTGCATGCAAAAGTTTCCTGATTTGAAACCAGGAGGAGAAAAAATACAACTTGGAGTACTTCTAGTGCTGGTCACAATGCTGAAGAAATAGCTCTGTTGTGTGAGGAAAGAAATCTGAGATTAAATACCTTACTATGTCAATTCACTAGGTATAGCAACAATAAATAATTATATTAACCACAAATGAGTTATTAGGCCAGTGTTTTTAATAAGAGTCCACACCAAACATATTACAAAAAATTAGAAATTATATATATATATATATATATATATATAATATATGTCATATAATATATGAAAACAACTCACAAAACAAGCTAACAACATAATCATCTTAGATAAATTTCTTTTGTAACAAGATGCAGACTTTTTTGCATTAAATTTATTCTCTCACCTTCAACACCTTGTGTTGACAGTATCACCATCTTTACCATAAACGGATATTCTGTTGATAGCTGACACAACACTAACATTTGACACACTGTGTTGCCACAGAAGCCACAGTGGGTATATTGAAAAATTGCAACAGTGTATTCATATCTATAATGAGGCATGAGGCAAAGCAAATAGACCTGGGCTTCACTATTTTTTTAAAAAAACTGCTACCCTTTAAAATAGACATGATGATGTGAAGTGGCAGACGTTTTACTCTCAGATGAAGAATGGAGATAATTAACAAAACAAACCATGAGGGTGAGATGTTTGTCTATAAACAGCCATCTTTTCACCAATTAGATATTAACTGTTTATACAAAAGGAATGAAATGTGCTAATAACCACAAAAATGTTTCATTGTATTTTATATAAATGCCACTTTTTCCAAAGGAATTAAAAGGCACACTGAAGACTAGCATTCCCTTTATTTTTAGTTTTGTATTGCACAGTAAAAGTTATCCGGATCCATGCCAGTAATTCGTTGACTGGCATCTCTCTGCAACCAGCTCGCTGCTGCCAGCTCTGTTTGGAGACACAATCAATTTCAAAACAGTTGTTTATTTATTTTTAAATAACAACAGAGCTATCAGAAATTTTGGAAACTATATTTGAACCAACTGATAATTTCAATTTTTTTGCCAACTATGACAAATTAAGGCTCCAAATTTAAAACAGTGTTATCTAACTGTTTTAAATCTGATAAACCGAGGGGACTCATCAACATATTTTTCTGTCAGTTTCTTGTGTGGGTTTTTTTTTTCCGAGATCCACAAAACAAAGCTCAAAATATCAACAACATGAAACGCACACGGTGTGTTTAAAAGAAATATAAATTAAAAAGAAAAAATATATAACATCACTGTCAGAAATCCCCCAAACGCACCAAAACTAACATACATTTTAGTTGTTCTCAAAACATAGGGGTGAGCATAAAGGATGTTAAATCTTTTCAGTGTCAATTACCTTTCACATTGCTGGGTTTTCTGACCATAGCATATGTCTCCTGGACTGATTCAAGTGCATGGTCCTCTGCAGGGATATAACAACAAAACATCATAAGAAT